AAAAAAAAATCAGTTCTAGAGAGAAAGAGGGAGAGAGAGAGAGAAGGAAATGATATGAGAGAAGGAAAGAGGATAAAAGATTACAAGAGTGGACTTTGCTTCAAAAGGGCAATGATGGGTGTGGGTTAATATTATTTTATTTTAGTAAAAACATATTGAGGTTATAAACAAAAATGTAATGAGCTGAAACTTCCTCTCTCAAACCCATCAAGGTAGGGAAAAAACAAAGTTAAACAACAAAAACTAATTAAAAGGGGAGAAGAAAGCTTGGTGCTGGAGAAGAAGAAGAAGAAGACGAAGAAGAAGAAACGAAGAGAAAACAAGAGAATCCAAGGTAGGTGCTTTGGAGCTGCTGCTGATGCTACTTCTGGTCTTTCTCTCTCTTTCTTACTTAAAAACTTAGAACCACAACTGTTGGTGGCAGTGCAAAAACCTGCAGTCTACCTTGGGAGAGTAAACTCACCCTCACTTTTATTTGTTTATTTTGGTCTTTTTGGGGTTCATGGGGGGTGTGCTCTTTTATTTTTCTCTTCCTCCCTCTTTCTACTTTATGTTTTTAAATTTCCTTTAAAAGGGTATTTGTCTTTACAGAATTGGACAAAACAAGGGCAAGTGGGGGAGTAGATTCAGATCTGCTTCTAAAAACTTGAAAGGGAAATAACAGCCCACCACAATGCCACTCGCCTTATTATATACACCCACACGCTAAAATACTCCCATTTTCATTCTCCGTAATCCAATGTTCTTCCCCTTTCTTCTTTTTCTTCTTTTTTTATCAAATTATATAATTAGTCATTATATTATGTTAAAGTAATAGATTCTTTTAAATCTTTCCTATTGTGTATACGATATGGTATTTTATTATATTTCCGTGATAATAAATTTACTGATATGACATTTAAAAGTGATACAATAATTATTATATGCAAATATAATTTGATCATATTTTTATTTTACTTGTAGTAATTAAAATAATAAACAATATGACAATTTGAATTTCAAACTTGGACAATTAACCACTCGCGAGGTGTGTTATTTTGATTTGCAGGTGTAAGAGGTAAATATTTCCCAATGCTTTCAAAATTTAAAATTGAATAAATCTTTTTATTTTCTATAATCTAATAAATATTTGAACTCAAATTAATAATTATTTTCTCTTTTAGATTTTTCCTTTCTTGGACATTAATTTAATAAATTCACAAAATAGTATATACCGTTAAAATATTTTTTAATGATATTTTATGACAAGGAAAGATTAGGAGTTTCAAATCTCGAATTATTCATATTCTCTTTTTGTAAAAGAAGATATGAAACCGTTAAACAAACTTTTAACGATATTCTTCAAAAATGTCAAATGTTTTAACTTATCAACGCTTTTTTCTTTTATATGAAAACACGTGGCTGTTAATAAAAATGTTATTTACTATTAATTAACCAAAAGCATATTGTTAAAATATTTTTTTTGATGTTTTCTAGCAACAAAGTATTGACAACTTTAAATCTCAAATTATTCATATTTTCCTATTTGTAATAAAAGATAAAACTGTAATAATTTTAACTTCATTTTTAACTTATCATTGGTACATTGGCTTCTTTTAAATGAAAATAAATATTAATAAAAAACTTACAATTGAATATAAATTATTAATGTCTATTTATAAAATAAATAGATTTATTACAAGTATTGATTGTTAAATTTGAAAAGAATTTATAAACCTTCAAGATTTAGAAATTAATATATTTTTCATTTTTGTTTATAGAGTAAATACTTAAATTTTAAAATCAAATCTTCCTATTTGATTTAAAAATATAAATAAATAAATAAAATATATATACTTAAATATTTAATTTATTGATTGATATTATCTATCAAATCTCTTTCTCTAATTATAAAAAACAAAAAACAAAAAGAACACACAAAATTTGAAATGTAAAAGAAACAAAAAGGAAAGAGAGGGTGAAATTACTATAAAGCATGCAAGTTGAAAAAGTAAAAAAAAAAATACTAATAGTAAAATAACTGGGAAGGGAATACACGCATTCTTACAGCGCGTGAGAAATGAACCTCTTCAGTTTCAAATTAGTGCACGTTCACTTGCATCATTCTGACAAACTTCTTCTCCCGAACTGTGTGATGTAATTTAAATTGGATTTTCATTTAAGCAGCGTAGGTTTTGATTTTCTGTATGCGGCCACATGGAACACCTTAAATCCCCACCACCAGATTTTTGTGGATATTGTGAGACCCATGACATTCGCCTACATCAATAATAACAGATAAAGTAAATTTTAAGTATATAAATATAAAATTTTTATCACTTGTTAAATATTTTTTAATTAAAAATATAAATCTTTATTTATAAGTTTATTTAAATTAATTTAAAAATTTTAAAATTATATGAACTTACCACATTTGATAAGAAAGATATTACACAATTAGAAAAAATAAAGCATTATTACTCTCACATAGTTAAAAGATAAAATCAACATTTCATCATTTATTAAATATGTTTTTTAAATTAAAAATATAATTTTATATTTATAAATTTAAATAATTTTTATTTTTAAAATTTAAAATCACACGAGATTAGATTTAAGTTTCAATTCATAATACTTTTTATTTTTTTAATAAATTAAATTAAATTATAATTATAAAAAATACTAATAATTTTCTTTTTAGTTTTTTTTTGAGTAGCTATTTTAAGATTAATTAAAATAATATTTTTAAAAAAATCTATAAACAGTTTTTAATATTTGTATTTATGTTTTTTTTTTCTTTGAAGCCATTATTTGGTAAGGAGACATTGGTAATTTGAAATTTTTGCTTCTGAGAAGAATAATTCAATCTGGTTTGTCAATATCAGGTGGACCCATATCTAATAACTTATGTCCCAGTAGAGGTTTCAATGTGGCCCAACTCCTCAGTCGATATAAATACACTAACTGGACTTGGATCATAATACTGTAATTATTTTGTTTTGGGTACAAAATGAAAATTTTTTGGCTTTCAAATTATTCAATGAGAAATATTTTCATTTTATCTTAAAATTTGAATTCAAATTTTTTAAATTAGAGTTTTAAGTTCTAACCTAAAAATACCTCATTGAGAAATTTTTTTAACAAGATTATAATCACTTAGTTATCTGCCAAATCTTTGTGTAATTAATTTATGAGTGAATTATCTTGTTGGTTACTTAACTATTTGAATATTTCTATTTTGATAATCTAACTTTAAATAATCATAATAACATTTAATTATCAATATTTATAAATTTTATTATTTTAATCACATGATTATTAGAAAAATGAGCTTTCATTTAACATATCAAGTCACTGATCATATAAACTATTTTGTCACTTGAAAATAAAAACCTTAAGAAAAGAATTAATTTTTAAACAAATTTTCTTATTGTATTGATGTCATGTGGCGAAGTAGATTAGGTCAATGGTGAGTGAGAGATTTGTTATCTTTTAACAATTAGGTGATAAAAATAATAACACTTATAAATGTTAATAATCAAAACAATATTTTTTAAAATTAAATAATCTAAATAAAAAAATGAAAAGTTAAGTAACTAAAAAATAATAATTCACTCTTAATCCATGCAAGTTTCCTTTTATAAGAGCTATCACCTTATTTCTTATCCTTTTGAAAAACAAAAGTGGCAACCATTAAACTAAACTTTGGCTGTTACTCATGCAATACGAGCGATAAATATTATTCTTGCCAATTACATTTAATCGCTATTATTTGCTATCATGGAGAAGTTAGACTAAGGAAATTGAAGTCATGGCATCACTCAATGCACAACAATTGTAAACGGAAACTCATAGCATAACTCGAAATGTTATTAATTGAATTTGGTTTATATTATAATAGGTTAACTTGTTCAAAGTATTTAGTTAAAAAATGTATAATATTTTAAAACGTTTTTACATTGTTTGAAAAAATTAAAATAAATTATTATGTTAATATTATATTCAATAAACTTTTTATATTTTTATTTTGAATTAAATAAATCTTTAACATTAATGATTGACTAACTGTCATTTATCAAAACATCACTTGTTATTTTTATGTTATGTGGTATATGACATGAAAGGTGAAAATACTATACATGTGACTATGTTATCATTCAATATGATCGGTCAACATGTCACATCCAATGTTACGGGTTGTATAATAATAAGAGATAAAGGAGGTTTTGCGTTTATAACTAAAAAACATTTTTCTATTTGACAAGTATGATATTTAGATTGAAAATATAGATTTGCAACAAACACTACAGGGTATGAAAATAAATGACATTTTAACTAACAATTAATTAATGATTAATTAAAAAAATTTAATTAAACGTAATAAAAAATGACAACTTATTTATAATTTTCTAAATAGTTAACAAATACTTTTTAAGTATGATGAAAATTAAAATAATTGACATATTATTGTTCAAAGTGATGATTTAGAGATGTTAGAAAGGTGATACGGGTGTATTTAAGGGAGTTATTAACAATATAATTAAAAGAGATTTAGAATTGAGAGGAAAGATTGAAAAGAAAATTTGGAGAGCTACAATGCAGTTTTACTTGTAAACAAAGGCAGAGCAAAGGGGGCTAGTAGGGGCTTTACCCTTTAAAATTTTAAAATTTAATAATTCTTTGCTTTTTTTTTCGAATTTTATAATTTTGTTTGTTATTTTTTTTAAATTTATAACTTTATTCTTATAAACATAAAATTTTTTATTTTCATATTCTCGAATATAAAATTTTGACCCTACCACAATTTTTAAATATGAGAAACACAAAAATTGTGAAAGAAAATTAAAAAATGAGAATAGCTGGCCCAACACCAACAGCATTGATTAAATAAACAAAGCAAGAAAACAAAATTGAAAACTGACCTAGGAAGCCTCAATTGTTTACTGTTTGTGTTGAATATATTGGCTTTACAATAATCCTTCCTGTTTTGTCTTGTTGCTCCAAAAACAAACACCCACTGTCTCTCTCTCTCTCTCTCTCATGCTTTAATAAACAAGTATATTTAACTTTTCTCTCTCAATATCTTCTTGTCTTCATCTTTTACTGTTTGCAGATTTGTTTGAGAAGGACTTCAACATATCAACCAGTCGGGCAAGGCCCACCCACACATTTGGTCCACACTGGCCTGCCCCAAGTAGCATATGCGTCTAAAGTAATAATTGGGCCCTTTTTTTTTTTAGCAAAAGTTATATAATTATTGGTCCTATATTGAATTTCTTTTAAACAAAGGCAACATTAGAACTTCAACTTAAAATTCTATTGCCAAACTTTTTTATTAAAATGTTTAATTTAATCTCTCTATTATAATTAAGATTTATTAGTGCCAATCTAATCATTAATATTGTTAAATTTTCTTCCTTTTTAAGGCTTTGAGGTGACGTTTATCAAGCAGACGTGCAGTTCGTTGTGTTGATATCACATCAACCGCTGCTGCTATTACGTGGCATTGAGTAACATTGCATTGACGAAATTACTCCCCTACGATTCCAATAATTACCTTCCTATACAATACCAAACCCATTCCTTTTTCCCCTCTCTAAAGCAGGCCAATTTTTAGAGTTTCCGTCCTCTCTCTCTCTCTCTCTCTTGTTTGTTGCTCCGCCGTCCAGTTAGTCGTCTCCGGTGAGTCTCTTTGTCCTCGTCTCCGGTTGTTGAAGGCATGGGACCTTTGTTCTTTTTTTGTTGTTTCAGTTTCTGGGTATCTCAATTTTTCTTGGTTTGTTCACTGGATTTGGTGAAGTTAAGAAAAAAAAAATGGAATTGAGTGAATGATTTATTGTGTACAGTCAAGATAAAATAGAAAATGAATTGCAAATGGAAGATTGCATGAATCATGAAATATTAATGTCGAATTTGGTTGAAATCATAATAGGTTTTGTTAACTGCCCATACAAAGTTTTGCTTTTATGATTTGCTTTTAATAGAATTTGGTGTTGGATGTTTGAATATAGAGAGACAGAGAGACAGAAATATCCGAAGGAGAAAAAAAATTGATTACCATCACATATATTTAACTTAGAAAAGCCATGACTAGAAATCCAACTTTCCTATTGCCAAAGAAAAAAAAATGGGTGTGATGCATCCAGAATATTAAGAGTAACTTAGAATTTAGCCCCATATGTGTCTAATTCCTAAACTTAACCCTAAACTAATAGAGAGAGAAACCAAGTATTCAGGGCCTAGAAACCCAGAATTGAGGGAGAATAGAGTGAGAAAGAGAAATCCAAGTATGGAAGCCAGCAAAAAGAATAAAGATAGAGAGAGAGAATAGTTTAGAGTGGTAAAAAAATTCGCACAAGTTGTAGAGAGAGTCTTGAAGGAGTCTGCATAGTTTAGTGCAAGAATTGCTGTTAACTTTTTCGGATTTTAAGTTGGTAGTTGCTGTTTGTGGTCCTATTAGGGTTTGTCTCTGTGGCCCTTTGGGTTTTCTTTGGTTTGCCACTTGCCTTCTTTTTTTGGATTCATGGTTGCAGAGATTTTGATTTTTTTTCTTTAATTGCTGAAATTATTTGCTTTTGGGTTTATGATGCACATAGATTGATTTCTTTATTTCATTTTTCGTGTTTTTGACATGTTACTATGAGTTGGGAAGTATGCAAATTTAGCTATTTGTGTGGGTCTCTTTTGGCTGCAATATATGTAGGTCTCTTGCCATGGTTTTGGTTTGTTAACCTGAGACAAAATCCACTTGTTAGGTTTGGATATGGTGGGTGTTTATGGAATGGCTCTCCATCATTTAGTGTTGTACTGATAATTGCTAGAGAAAGTAGGATGCATTTTATTGTGTTTTCCCGCTTTTCTTTTCTTTGGGAATTTTCTGGAAGTCGGGTTGATTCATATCATTTTGGCAGGCATGAGAGATGTGAGATTTGTTTTCTGTGAATTCTTTGAGTTTAGGTTTGGTTTGTTCATCTTGACATTGTAGATGTTTATAGCAGTTTTGGAAGATGAAATAGGGGGCTATTTTTTTGCTTTTTCTGGGGAATTTATTTCTGATTTTCTTTCTCTGGATACATGTTACCTCTTTCTATCTAATGTTATTTGTTTGGTTACTGGGAAAATAGAGGATAAAAACTTAGTGTATAATTGTATCTCTGTTTTCTCTATTGCAGATGTATGAATGTGTCTTGCCTTTCAAATATATATATATATATATATATATATATGAATATGTCTTCTTTCTCTTCTTCCTTTCAATTCTGTGTATAAATAAAGATGAATTGATTTATTTACATGATTATATTTTGTTAATTGAATTTAGTCATTATGGTATCCGGTTTGATAAATGCAAATCCTGTTGTTTACGAGAAGAAAGAGCGGCGGCTTCGTAACGTAGCAACTCTACCTGATGAATACGTGGTGGAACCTATTGACCAGCAAGAAATTTTTGATATCCTCTTTTTGCTTTTCTTCTTATTATTAATTTCTTTTCATTATGGAAGTTATTGTAACTTTACTTTTTTGTATTATTTTTACATATCCAAATTAACGTACCTTGAAAATAATCTGCATCTATTGAGAATAGTGTTTTCCATATTTTACAATAAATTATGTGGACCAGGTTATTTGATTTTCTTAACATTCTTAAATCATATTAGAGATATAAAGGATCCAGAGCATCCCTACTCTTTAGAAGAGCTTAAAGTAATAACTGAAGATGCCATTGAAGTAGACGATGAGCGTAGTTATGTTAGGTAAAATGATCAAATTGTCTCTTATTCATGTGCTTCCTGCTAATTTTTCAGTTTAATCAAGTGGTTTTTTATTGGTTTGTTTCTTATTCAGGGTCACATTTACTCCTACTGTTGAACATTGTAGTATGGCTACAGTCATTGGTCTTTGCTTGAGAGTCAAGCTTATGAGGAGTCTCCCTTCTCGCTACAAGGTATTTATCTTTCCCCTACTTTTTTTTTTTTTATTTTTGGGGGGGGGGGGACCTGGTTTTGAGCTAACATGTAATTTTTTCTAGTGCTATATGAATTAGGTAAAGCTGATGTCTTTGTTTTACTGTTTGCTTTGGTTAAGGAATGGATAGATAAGAGCTTGATCTCAAACAATGTTTAGTATTTCTGAACTTAAATATTTTATTTGGAGATTGGATGGTAGAAAATTGGGGACAAGAAAAGGGGATTCCTAAATTTGCTGGATTAGTTCCATGAATTAAAAAGGAAATCTTACTCTTTTGCATATGACTTACAACCTGCAAATTACTTTCTGGTTTCTTTCATCTTAATAACTGCAGTCTGAGACCTCTGTAGTTGCTATGCTGATCTGAGCTGCTTGTTTTGCTTAAGAAATTCCACTGATAACTAAATTTCCATTGTGATTCTTTGTAGCATATAATACTTTCAAATTTGCTGCTTGAACTTTGATGCTTGACTAAATTGTGTCTGAAGTTTGTTCTTGTCAATAGAGTAAGTACATCTAATGTCATCTATTGCCAATGCAGCCATAGTTTGACTTTTGAAGCCCTTCACTCATTCTAGTTATATACTGTCCACATGAGGATATGAGGATTTTCAAACCCATATGCTGGGTTTTATCATTTCAAACCCCATCTCTCTACCGATAGTTAATAGTTCAGATAAGATGAGCAGTCAATAAATCAATTAATGATAAGATCTTTTTAGGTTTTTATAGCAAAATTTTCTTTCACAGAACTCTTTGGGTCTGCATGGTTTGTTAAGGATCTGATCAAATTATTTGGAGTCATTAATTCCTATATGTTATGTTTGGCAGCTGATACACTATGCAAATTGTTGCCTTCTTTTTCAATCTCTTACTCTCTGCTACCTTCCCCATGCTAATGATTGTTCTTCATTGTGTTTAGATGGATATAAGGGTTGCACCAGGAACTCATGCAACTGAAGCTGCAGGTATACTCTCTTTGTTTCTCTCTGGTGGTCAATGCCAGCTTGTTTCCAAAAATTAGTTGTGGAAGGGAGAGATTTTTATATTAACTTTAAAGAAGTGTGGTACAGCCTTCATATTTTGGTCTAGGTTGATTATGGATTTAATTTCTCCTAATATTATCTTCCTTTCATGGTGGAAAAAGTTTCTTCTCTTGATAGTTAATAACTAATAACTAACTACTAGCTAAGCTGAATAAAGATTATGATAGGAATTGGAGTCAAGTATGGTAAATACAAAGCTTATGTGTGTAGTGTAGCAGTTAAAGAATTATCTCATATCTCTTTTCTTCTTAACTAAATGCAGTTAATAAACAACTGAATGATAAAGAACGAGTTGCAGCAGCACTAGAAAACCCAAACCTTCTGGATATGGTTGATGAATGTCTGGCTCCATCGTATGGTTGAATGTATCATATTACTAAATGGAGTGGGAGAAATTTTATGTGTTTTGTAAAGGCCACTGGGTTTCTTTGTCACGTTTATATAATTCCTTTTATCTTTATTTTACTTGTCTCTTTTGGTTGCCTTTACGTCATGTTTGGCTCGCTGGAATGGTCAGGCCATTCTAGCACCATTCCTGATGAGATGGTTATTCTTGTGTTTGGTTCATTTTTGCACTAAAGAATGGCTATTCCATGAGATTCCCTATTCCTTAAGATCACATTTGTTTAGTGAAATGGAATAGATGGAGAATGGAATAATCATTCTTTGAGGATAGAATAAGGTAGGAATAGAATAGAAGAATTATTATGTAGTATGGTTCATGGAATGAAATTGTCATTCATACATTATTCCAATGTTTGGTTGGCAAGAATAACTTTGGAATTACAAAAGAATAAATGATAAAAGACAGAAATATCTTTTATTATAATTTAATAATGTTTTTGTCAAAACACAAATAGGTGGGACTTTCTATTTTTTCTCAAATTTATGCTATCTTGTTAGGGTTCCCATTTTTCCTCATTTCCCTCTTGCATCATTGACTTCCTTCTCCATTGATGATTGTTGCTTGGATTGTCATCATGTTGCTGCATTTTGAGTGAGAAGGCCCAAAAAATAAAAATAAAAACCAATTTCTCGAGCTCATCTAATGTCCCATCTAACTCTTGAATCTTTTGTTGGATTATAATTTCAGTTTCCATACTCCTGCTCAAATCCCTGCCAGCTTCTTTTATGTTATCAGCCAATAACATGACAACATTAAAAATTGTTTTGGCGGAAATTGGTTTCACTTATCTCAATGGTCCTTTTCTTCTTCTTTGTTGAAGTATTTTCACATTTTCGAATGGTTGATGCTTGAGATTGGGTGCTAGGGACATCCATGTTATCCAAGCCATATTTAGCTTCACCTTCATTTGTCCTGTTATTATCTTCTTCTATTTCCTTGAGGATATCTACTACAATAATCTATGCATTTTTTCTTGTTACTGGGTATTTAGCTTAAATCCCATTGAACTCATTATAGAAAGAAAATTTTTTTATTATGAACTGAGCAGTATTCCTTGTGGCTCATTATAGAAAGAAAAACGCTTTATTTGATGTTATAATTAATATTACAATTTTGTTTACATATTAATTTTTTATTATGTTGTCCAGTTCATAATAATGCTGTCTAGCTCAGAATAAGGAGTTTTTCTTTCTATAATGAGTTCAATCCGATTTATGCTAAAGATGGAAAAACAGGAAAAATTGCACAAATTGCTGCATATATATCTTCTGCAGATATCTTAAAGGAAATGGAAGAAGGTAATGGCGCCCAACCGCAAGCCTCAACTGTTGGAAAACAAGAAAATACGCACTTCAGCAAAGAAGAAAAAGACTGATGAGATGGATGAACTGATTTCGGTTGAATCAATTATTAAAGTTGCCATATTATTGGGTGATAACATAAGAGAGGTTAGAAGAGATTTGAGCAAAAGTATCGGGACTGAAACTGAAATGATAATCCAACAAAGGGTTCAAGAGTTAAATGGGGAATTAGGTGGGGGGATTGGTGAGAGGATGAAAGGGATAGTGTTTTTCAGTCTTGTGCCTTGTCAAAGAGTTGGATGAATGACAAGGTTCTTACCAACCATTGAGAATGGAAATTGCAGAAACCCACATGTATGATTTTGTTGGCAAATTAAGGTATCCTGAAACTTTCTTGTGTTTGACCAATTAGCATAATCATGGCAAGTTCCATGTCAACTTGATCTTACATTCTTAATACTAATTTGGACTACGTACAATGGATGATGAATGGCAATTCAGCAAGTCATGGAAGTTTTATTTTGCATTTTTTTTTAACTCAAAATACTTTTAAAGAACTTTGTTGAATATGACTAGGATATAAAGTCCTAAATTAATTGTAAGCATTTTATTTTTACTAAAAAGTTGAATTTTAACTCAGTATCATTGTTAAAAAGTGAAAATAATAATAATAAAGAAAACCTATCGTGTGTCTTGATGATTGAAAATCTCCCTTGAGTCGTCATACATGTCACAGTGAATATCCCTCCCCTGAGTTTTCTTAATGAATGTAGCTTGAAAATCAAATAATCACAATTAATGATAACAAAGCATTTTGGGTTTGAATAGCTGGAAGCAATACAAGTTAGATCTCTCTTCAACATATGTTCATATACGGTATACCCCAGATTTCAAAATTTGGGAGGGTGAAGTGCCATTCTTGTGAGCACCACACAGCATGTAATCTACTTAGCATCAAAATTCTTTTGCAACCATTTGGCTTGCGTTTCCAACCCAGCATCCCTCAGGGCATTCATAGCTGAATGGTATAGCCTTCCATCTAACTGAGTTCCTTCAGTTTTCATGTCCTGCAGAAGCTTCACCAACTCATCAATCCGACTTGTTTTAGAGAAAATACCAACCATGATGCCAGCCATAGCCTTATCAATCAAACCCCCGTTCAGTCTAAACTCCTGGTAGCATTTAAGGCACATCTCGTACTCCCTTGCTCGACTGTAAGCGCTGATGATAGTAGTGTAGCTAACTTTATCTGGTGCTGTCTTTCTCCGCTTCATTTCCTTCCAAAGCTTCTCCACCTGTCTCAAGTTCTTCAATCTCCCATGCATGTCCATCAAAGAATTATAAATCCATACATTTGGCTGACACCCTTTGTGTTTCATTTTAGCCACAAGCTTCATTGCATCTCTTATCCTCCCTGCTTTCCCATACATTGCTATCATGCTCGAATATGCCACAACACATTTATCAAACCCCTTCTCCTCCATCTCTGAAAATACCGTTTCAGCTTTTGAGTTGAGACCAATACGGCAGTGTGCATTTATGATGGACGCATAAGTTACTTGACCTGGTTTGCAACCTTGAGAAAGCAGCTCCTCGTAAACTACAATAGCGGATTGATACCCTCTCCTTTTGGAGAAGCCATTGACTATTGTACAAAAAATACAATCAGAAACCTTTATGTTGGCATCCTTCATCACCCTCACAATTTCCAAAGTTTTTTCTAGCAACCCTTCATCTATGTACATCAATACAAGTTTCAAAAACACTTCTGGATCCCTTACCATCCTCCTCTCCGCTGCCTCTTTTAATAGTTCTTCGGCTACAGTTAAATCGCGAATGCTCGCAAATGAGCGTATCAAGGAAGAGTAAACCGAAGAACTCACAGGAATTCCTTTCTTTGTCATGTCTCTGAAATATTCAAGAGCTTCATAAGCTCGACCTGATTTCCCCAACGACTCACATAGGATACTGTAAACACGAGGTGCAGCTGGTGTCAAATCAAACTTCCTACTTACAAATTCATCAAAGAATGCTGCAACTTTGTCCATATCTCCAAGGTGCTGATAAGCTTCCATTATCTGGCAATAAGATTCCGAATCCTGAAAAATTCCATTTAATTTCATTGTTTCATATACAGCAATTGTGCTTCTAAACATGTGCAACTTATTATAACCTGCCATCGCTGAATTAAATGCAAGGAGAGCTACTACCTTATCTGATTTAAACACTTGAAGCAAAGTGTCCACAACCTTGAATTTTCTAGCTCTAATACACGCATTAATTAATCTTGAACAAGTATAACTATCAGGCAAGACATGGTAATGCTTAAAATCCTCTGAAAGAGACATAACTAAATCCCATTTCTTGGATTGGACCAAGTACCTGATTAGAAGCTGTAACAATGGTTTTTCTGGTATGAACCCTGGCCTTTGTTTTGCTTTCTCATAGTAATCATAGGCTAGCCCTTCATTTTCAGTATCTTGCAATAACCCACACAAAAAACTATTTAAATTATCCACATCTGGAAGAGACAATTGTTGAGAACCTTGAAATTTAAGTTCCAACTTGGTGCTGGGCACAGTGGCTGATGCATCCTCTAGGATAGGAGAAGGACAGCCTGAGGAGTAGATGTGGAATAAAGGAAGGTTGGAGGTGGGGAATGAGACAAAGTGAAGGGTTTTGCATGATGAAAAGAGACCATTTTTTCTGGTTTTCGATGTGTGGGAATCAGTTGAAGCCAAGGACCAGTCTGGAGAACTGGAAATGGCCATTTTGTGTGGAGGGATAAGGTTATGGAGCCGTAAACTGTTGGAACGCAAGTGAAGTACTAGTGGAGCTTCATAAATAGCTTATCTTTTTATGGATTGGATTTTGCCATGTCTGCATGCAGTACATCAGCCAATAAAAACGTGACAAATGGAATTTAAATCTATCTTTTTTGTGAAAACAATAAAGGGCTGCCTTCTGACACGTGTTCTATTCGCAGCAACTAGAATGGCAGTGCCAATTTTGGAGAGAGAGAGAGAGGCAGAGAAAGAGTTTGCTGAGAGGGACAGAAACAAACAACTTGTTCAGTGGCCTGAGAAAGGGAAAGAAAAGAATAGTAAAATAAAAAAAAGAAAGTTCAGAGCCAAATGAAGGAAAGAAGTATTTTCTAGCTTATATGACCTTAATGTCAAATTGGCCCATCTTTTCTGCAAAATAGGAAGAAGATTAATCAGAGAGGTGCGCATGGATTTGTACTTTTTCATTGGTGGGGGTAATAGCTTGACTTAAAACAATGAATGACAGCTTATTACCACAATCAAAAACGGCAAGGAAAAAGAAAGATGTCAAGCTTTCGATAGTGGTGGATGGGGTGGTTGGAGACAAAAAGGATGGGTGAAACTTGAAAGAAGTGGACAGCACTACACTGGTGAGATTACTTCATAATCAATCATCACCGATTGCATTAGGTAAGAGGAGTAATTCAGTCAAGCAAATCTTTTTTATTCAGAAAAAAAAAATACAAAAAAAAGAAAAGCTGAGACAAAAGGGAATGCTTTCCAGGTACTAATGACCAGAGAGAAGACTAAATTCCTCATTCAATACTTTTCATCATCGGTTCAAATAATTACAATCTATTGAATTTTTGGACCTCATAAAAATGGAATCTTCGATATAGCTATTTTGAGCTGGGGATATATAAAAGGATCAGAAACAATTAAAGTAATGAAAACAAATTGGGGAAACTCTATCCAATGGGGAATGAACTACAGGAAAGGATTGGATTTAATATATAAGCGGTGGAAGCAAACAAATGAAGGCTTCTCATTGCATTGCAATGGAGCATTGTGACTACAAATGAGACCTACATATCGAACAGCAGAGACAGAATTATTATAAAAGACTCTAATGTGTTCCATCTAATTTACCTCTGCTATCTGCTAACTTCCTATTTACACACACAAAAGAAAACAAAAGGAAAAAAAAAAAAATACTCTCTATCAGTCATATGTCCAAAATCGCCGTTGCGGAGCAAACTACCTCAGTCTTCCTCTCATTGGTGGTTGCCACAGATGTCATGCATGCTTAAATAATTTCATGCTAAGCCAATGGAAATATACAGCAACCACAAGAACTGGAAGTGTCAGGGGCACCAAGAAGCAGTAATACCTGTTAAAGAAAGCAAAGCAAAAATCAAGGAAAATATATAGGGACTTCAAATTTGAACCTTATTAATAGTAATAATAATAAATCTGCAAATCTTAAATTTCTGCAAAGAAAATTTTTTTGTAACACGTTTCAAGTTGATGCCAAGCACAGGGTAAACTGGTTTTGCCTTGGTAAACAGGTAATAGAAGTACATCACTACCTCCGAAACACTCATATCATAAAAGCAAACTATCCCAAAATGATCTTGCCAGTGATTTCTTGTCTGTCTGCTTTAAGGAATACTAATTTGATCAATCATCAACACACTAGAAAGATATCTGCCAAGTTGAAAAATGTATCCACCATGCTCCTTCATACAAGCCATAAAATTCATGTTAAAGCAGAAGTTGAACTTCAAGGAACACTAATCACAGAGTGTTTTCCCTTACAAGCCATTCTCTTTTCCTTCACATCCCCAGTTTTTCATTTCCCCTTCACATAAGGCAGATATGAACAAATATGTATCTGCTTTGCCATATTTCAAAGGCTAGGAGAATATCCAACTATATATTTAGCAACATAAGATAAGAATGTAATGCATCATGCATAGCCAGTATAGCCCAGACGTCAAATATTATCCAAACACAACCTTAACTCCTTGCAACCTTCACATAAATATCCGGAAAATTTGCAAATTAAAACCGAAGGAAAATTAAAAAAGATAAAGATGACATGTTAATATTACCTGTCGTTTTGGATAGCTGCCAAAATAGGATTATTTAACGGCGGAAGAAGCTTCGAGATAGCAGCCGTGAAGAGAAATCCAGGCAAGACGACGGATCCGATTCCCACCAACAACCACCCCCAAAACGTCGTCGTTTTTGCCCCACTACTGCTACTATCTCCAGAAACCACCATTGATGTTCGGTTAACGGATTTTGCAGACAAAGAAGAAGAAGAGAGAGAAGAAAAAAAAGAACAACAGACCTGGAAACGATGACACTTTTTGGCTTTTTAAGTTTTAAAAGAAGAAAATAAGTAAGAATGAACGTAAAGAAAAATCGTAATTTTTTTTAAATAAGATAATATGATTACATTGAATACTTTACATTACAAGCTTATATCACTGTCAAAATCCCCAAAAAAAAAAAGATTCAGAGAGAGAGAGAGAGAGAAATAGAGCAGAATCGAAGAAGTTACACACCTATCACCTGAATCGAAGAAGCAAAGAGAAGAGAAACACGGAACGGAACCTTCAAAATCTGAATCAAAATGCTCAAAGGGAAGAAACCGTGAGAGAGATTAAAAAGATACAGGTAAAAGGGGAAGGAAAGAACAGAAAACTGAGCGATCTTGAAACTAAAATCTGTTGGAAGCAAGAATATTTTATCACATCGCACCAATGAACCAACCTTCCTTTACCTTCAATCTTCTACTTTCCAATCCACAAAGAAATGGAGGCACACTCGACTGTTTTTCTTGGTTCCTGCCTTTATTTGTTTCTCTTCGTTTAATTTTGAGAATTCAAAAAATATTTAAATTAATTATAAAAAATATTAACAATTATTATAAAAAAAATATATATATATATATAATATATTCCTGTGATACAATCGTATTAACATGATATATTTTATTGGTCAATATTTAATTAAATATTTTATTTTTTATTAATATCATAATATATTTTATGATATTTATAATTATGATAGAATATTGATTTTAACAATCGGAGTATATGATATGATTTTGGAATAGAGACAGAAAATAAACACAAAATCGAAATAAAAGATTTGCATCCGAAAAGGTAAAAATTCTAAAATTACGATTTTTTTTATATGTGTAAAATTTTGTAGTTTTGTGCTTTTTTAATATACATTCAAATTTATACCTATGTTCTAATCTGTGCTGCTACGTAATAATCGCAAGAGTAAAAAAGAAGAAGAAGAAAAAAAAAGCTTATATATTTTCATGCTGCCAAAGCAGTCCAATAACTTGCTGTGCATAAGCTTGTTGGAGTGCCGATGATCCGTACCCAAACCCATTGCGTGTCTTCAACATTTTGAATTTCCGCCAACTGCACCATTTTATAACTTGCATTAGCTTATTATTTCTTTGGTAAGGTTTTCCTTATGCTTTTTCTGCCTGAAATTAAGTAACATGTTCGTAATGAACCCACATATATATATATATATATATATATATTTTTGGGAAACTTGAAGCAAATGATAGAAGCAACTTTACTTGAGTTGGATTGCATTTTTGTCTGAATGAAATGTTTATGATAATGATATACCTTGTGTGACTCTGTTTTGATTACTTGGGATAATTAATAAGATGTCGAAAATTAGAAACAAGGATGGAATGTGGTTTTGATTGCTTACTCTGCCATCTTTTAGCTCAAAGATAACTGTATCTTCAGAGAATGGAATTGGTCTTGTAGCAGCAACCTGTATGATTTGTACAGATTTTATAAATCAGTTTGGTATCACTATTTGCTGTAGACTTGTAGGAATAACTAGTAAGTTCGTGTGTGGGTAGCTGGATACAAACCTTCGGGTCACAGTTTCTGTGGGGATCAATTGGATTCTCCATATTGTTACCTAAACTAGCTGTGAAATCGTTATCGATACAAACTTCTTGCTGTGCATCATGGGCTCCCGTTTCTGTTTGATCTTTGTCTCCATTATGTGGGAAGCCGCAGTTTTTCCATCTCCATGTCAATTGGTCCATGTACCTTAGGTATAAGTTTCCGTCTGAACCAATCAAAAACAGTTGATTGCCTTCGAAGCATGGGCCGGGAGGACCAACCAAGGTAACATCTTTGCATGGAGTGCCGTGTTCCACCCAGTTCCAACCATCCCATGCATTCCAGTGATATTCAACTAGTCCACCATCTTCTGAAAGCATGAAAAGTGAGCCTGTTAGTGACAACAATGACGGCCTCATAGCAGTTCCTGGCAACCTGGACAGAACCAAATGCTGAGATTGGTGATGCTCATGCCACAACTCAGTCACTTTGTTATACTGGTAGAGCCTACCATTTCTTCCAACAACAAACACTATATTTTCCCTAAATATTTCTTGATCTATTATGCATGCAAGTTTGGTTTCTGGAGGGTTTCGGCAATCTTTCCATTTGAACTTCCTCAGGGCAACCTACATGATAGTTAAGGATGTTGGTTAGTGCAACACTTTGGGAACATTACAAAGAATCAGCATCACTAGTTTTTGAAGTCTAGATACTGGAACTATGTTTGGAGTGTTAAATTTTACACTTTACACTTGGATAGATAACTAGCATTTCTCAGTTGCCCCTGACAACTGAAAATAGCATTGTTGTTATCCTGCCCTTTTGCTCTTTTATTTTCTTTTATTTTTTCAGGAGAAAAAAATAAACAAAACAAACCATGATGTAACTAATCTGTTTGCCTTAAGCATTTTAACTTACTGTGAACTGCAGCAGCCTTCCGCTTTTGCTCACAAAGAACAGTGCATCTTCTGCTGTGACTTTCATATTTTTACCTGGCATACCATCCCAAGGAGGGCCCCCAATAACTTGCCTTCCTTTCCTCATTGCAGTGCAATTTATCCATGCTAGCTCATTGTGGCTCCTTTCTCTGATAAGCAAGGTTCCATACATGTCAACAAAAAATAAACTTCCATTGTAGTTTCCTAGGGCGCCTTTCATAGGTGTTGAATGATCATGTCTTAACCAGAGCCATACACTTTCAGTATAAAGATATTCAAAGATTAAACCACCATCTGTTACTATAAAGAATGATACACCTCCGTGCATCACCCTCAATCGGAAGTTTGTGTTGATCCAGTTGTCTGGGAAATTATTTTCTTCTAATGTTTTCAGTAATGTACTCCTGGATGTGCCTAGAGATAAGTACTCCTGTTGTGCTTTGTTACCCTTTCTCCTCCTTGTCAGTAATCTTGTAGTTCCTGAATCATTTGGTTCATCTTTTATACCTGCTATGCAATTCATAGGTCCACGCTCTTCTGTACAATACTCTGCATTCCATCCTTCTGTCTCAGGGGCATCCAATATTGACCAAACATACTTAGATGATGATTTCTTTCGCATGTTAAATTGATGCGTTGGTCCTGAATTTTCACCACCTAGGCCAGGTATGTGTAACTCTGCAAGTCTACCATCATCCAATGCAAACATTGTCCTGCCAAGTTGAAATTTTAGTCCAGCAATACCTCTTGCAACTTTTGTGTTTGGTGGATGCATATGATTCAGCCATGCTTCTGAAATTTGGTTCTCTTGAGCTGTACCTGTCTTCACATACAAATGTTACATCAAAGATGTAGTATTGTTGCTAGATTTACTTGAAAATTGTAAATAGCAGGTCATGCAGATGCATCATTATTGTAAGGCTACATTAAATTTCATGCATTTATCCTACCTTGCTTGGAGGTCTCATACAATGAAAGACTTGGATTCTCAGAATTACTGGTCTGTAAGAAAGGACAACCTCATTTATTCTCCCCGATTGCCTTATAGAGTTTTTACCAGTGAATTTAGCTCTAGGAACTTAGAGCCTTCTATTGTAGGTAAAAGGTTTTTTGTGGCTTGAGTTTTGAGTTATCTTCATTGTTCAATTAAACTCACTGAATTGGAAGTTGCGTTTATTTTTTTGAAATTTCTTTTACTGCTGAACTTAATTCTGATTGCTTTCTCATCTGCTCCCTCAGTTTGACTTGCTAAATTATCTGCTGTCATGGCCCATTGAGATGTGGTTTTCTTAGTCCCTTCATGCTTCTTCATCTTTATTTCAATAGATGATTGCTCTAATTTATAGGAAGCGACTAAGACAATACTTGAAGTTCGGCATATGTATGGATCAATGTCGAAGTATCTCATATTATTGATTTCTACATTTTGCAGTTACATTTAGTTGTGGCATTCTAAATCTTGTTATGTGTTTTCTACTTTTTTTGATGAACTGTATCGGTTTCCCTAATGTCCACATATTTTAACTTGTTTCTTGATCATAATCAAAGCAAGAAATATACTCTGATGTAATTCAGAATGAGGAAAAAGAAAACTGAAGAGAAGAGTTATTGGTTTCTTTACAACACTTGACTTACCTGAATGTTTCTGTATTCGATACTCAAGAACCAATCCAGTGGATGTAGTGAGAAACAATGGCAAGAATCTTTCTTTTGGCTCATCTTCCAGTGGGGGAGTAATAGATGTGAGGTGATGGGCTTCTGGACTTCCATGGCTTATCCATTTCCATTTCCTTTGATGCAGTCGTCTCTCTACCAACATACCCCCCTGTATATTTAAGGAATTTTGTAAGACATGACATCAAGTGTAGGATAATAGGACATGTACACATTTTTGTGGTGCTCTAATGTGTAATTAGTTTGTCAGTATTGGTGATATGTGAGAGCATGAATTGTTTATGCAGAGTACCTGTGTTAGGAGAAACAAGGATACAGAGTGATCTCCACTAAAGCCATGTATGGTACACCCCTTTAATGGTATCAGAGAACCATCCTCTGCTGTTTCTTCACTGTGTAGATGTTTCTTCCATGATGGCCTCGAGCTCTTATCATATTCATAGAGATCACCTGTAGAACTGTTGCACCATTTCATGTTTAGCTCACTTTGGTAATTTTAAAATGAAGGGCAGATTATAACTTATACTCTGATGACAGCATACATAAACATCATGACACACACACATAACTCTTTCCTTCAGATATTAGGAGCTTGTTTCCGTGATTATTTTATTTTTTTTGTGCATTGATTTCTTCATTTGATAATACTTTTCTGCTAGCTAACTCTGAGTTGTGTATTGGTCAAAAAAGAACACCTTATTGTACTTGTGGACACAGAGAGAGAGAGAGAGAGCACCTTATTGTATATACTACTTCTTTCCTAACGGTCACCACATCAGCTATTGCTGCAACATCTGCTCCTGGTGGTCGGCCATGATTCTCCCACCTGTTCTATGTTTACAGCACATATTCCCAACTGGATATTAGAGTCTCCTATTGAAATCAACATCTCATCTATAGAGACTGGCATATGAGTATGAAATTTGAGGCATCAATGGTAGTAACAAATGAAGGGCTCTACTTGTATTAAGATTTTGAAAGAAAAAAGTTCTACCTTAGAGGCTCAACCTCACTCAGTTCCAGCAACAAGCCATTCTTTGTGCAGAAATAAACTCTCCTGCATTGAGTTCAGAAAAATAAAGGAATTATTGGTAGAGACACAATGATCCTCCATTATGTATTATTCCCTGAAGCAAAAAATCTTGAAATTGAATTAATGTACTTACAGCCCATCATTTGTAACAGTACCAGACTTTATTTGAACTGCTGAATTCTGTTCTGCTTCTTTATTTGTACTTTGATTGAATGCAGGTTTGAACTCCACCCAAATTGGCTGTGAGCTGTCACTAAGTTGCATCTGAAAAAAAGAAAGAGGATAAATCAGCCAATAATAGCAGCAAAGGAACCCTTGTTGTCACAATCAAAGTAAGTCCCTTTTGGATGCTGCTATATGCTATCTCATTGTGGGTATGGATTCAAAATGTTGAAAATGGGGTTTTAGTTTAAATTTTGAAGTAGATTACGATGGCACTTCTGCCTTATTTGGAATGAGAGTCATAACTAGCAAGATTATACTCAGTTACAATTGTAACCCGAATTAGAATCATTGTTGAAATAAAGTTTGTACGCTAAAAAGGGGATAACAAGCTGAGATCATCAAAGTGGACTATTTTACTCTAAAATCATTGGATTTGAGGGATTCTAAGAAGTGAGTTTTTCAGGGTTTGGTACATGGTTCACCTCCAAACGGTTTAGAGTAAACCTTTTGCTTCTTTTCACTCTACTCTCTTCTACTCCCGCTGTGTCTGTCCAATCACCCTGTAAAAGTAAGTGCTTTGCCTAGGTGTTGGCTTTATTTCCTGTTAGGTAGATTGGAGTCTATCCTGATAGCGGTGCACTGGTGCCTGAGATCCTCCATTCATATTATATGTATTTGCAAAACACTGCTGGATTCATTTCCTACAGGCCGTAGTTTCAGGAGAATTGACATTAGACTACATGGTGTTCTATCTATGCATGATGATCACAGTGGTTGTTTGTGCATGCTTTATTTCTGCTCTTTGGTGCAACTCTTATCTAACATGACTCCTTGCTCTAATCTTGTGCCTGTATAACTAGCCTTAAAGTAGTCATCAGAAAATTGAAGAAACTTTTCAATAAAAGGCACTTATACAAGGGGGAAAATAATTCAAATCTTGTTTAGTTGAAATCACTTTGTTCACTTACCATGAGAAGAAATTCATCTCATCCAAATTGCAATCTTTCTCCCACCAGACTTTAGCATAAGTAGGCAACTAATAAAACAAAATTGAAGGGAAGAAGCAAAAATTGAGTAGGATGTTTGATTCTAGTGTTGTTTCTATACTTGCATAGAAATATCGTAATATGTTGTGATGAAGTTTGACTATATGATCCTGCATATTACATAATGGTTCATCAAATGTAAATTTGAAGCAACTGGTGCTGATCGGTACCTGATATAGATTTCCTTCTTCTGAGATAGCAAGAATTGTCTGGTTAACTATCAAAACAGAGATTGCACGACCTGCTGACATGTGCAAGTCATGTGGTGCTATCACCCACTGAACTCCATTCCAGAACCTCTCATAGATAGACCCACTTTCACCTGTGACCCAAATGGATGTTTCTGACATTTTAGTCAAAGAAATTCTTTTTCTTAGAGGCAAAACTGTCCAACAGTTCTCCTCGATTTCTCCTACATCACCATCCTTCGTTTCTAAATGCTTCTTTTGTTTAGAAGGATTTTTTTCTTTTTGTAAGTCCTCTTCTCTGGTTTTTTTTGTTTGATCAATCAAGCCCACTTTCGTGCAGTTATCATTAACACAAGATACAAGATCAACAGGAGGTTTCACTTCAACCCAGCTGTTGGATTGCTCTCGAAACTCCCAGAACCGATCTGTTTTCTGCTCGAACTGTCTACTCGTTTGTTGAACAAAGTGTGGGCACCATGAGGCAGAAGTAAGAAGGACAAGGTAGCTTATTGACAAAAGAACCCAAATGAAAATTATTAAATGGAATATAGACATGGTAGCTGATGAACCTGAAAAAAGGGCAGAGGAAGCTGGATATAACAGAACTCTTCCAAACAAAGATATGCTGATTGTGTCATGGGCAAGTAAGGTTGGCTCTATACAGTTTGTGGTGCCACATATGGACCATAGTCGAAAAGGCTATTGTGAAGTACTTGAAAGGACTAACCATCAAAGTTGCAACGACAACTGCTCCTTTCATGGCCTCTCTATTGCCATGAGAGCCAGAGAAGGAAGGTGGTGGGGGTCCATTAAAGAGCAGAGAAATAATTACATATACGGATTTCCTAGATTGTGGCCACCCCTATTGCTGGGCATCTGTACTTGTCAACTCTCTTGTGGTAAACAATAGCAAAGTCAAGTTTATCAGTAGGTTTTGTTTTACTTCTTTTTTACTCTGCATGTGTTGTTTGCAGCTAGTGATGCTTTTTCTTACCTAATTATAACGACTTTGTGTCAGTCTTGTATTAATTAATTGCCGTGTTTAAAGTTTAATCTGTATGGTAAACATGATGGTGGTGGAACATCCTTGCCAGCTTTTATAGAGCAGATCCATTTCTTGAAAATTCCTGTACTAACTCCATACCAAAGAATAGATTCACTGTACATGTTGCATTCAGGTGAGCCCATCCTGCTCAAATGATCAAAGGGCTTTACAACTACAGCCTCTTAGATCAACACTCGTGGGGTCCATTGGCCGGTAAGGGTCATTGGTTACTTGATTCCAAGCATATAATCATGAAGGCTTTTCAGTAGAATACTTGTATCTTTTCATTTACAAATTCGTAGGATGCCGGAGATGGGCATTTGACTATGTGTCAGCTGAGGTAATAATGTTACTAGTTTTCTATGGTTGTTTGTAAATGAAAGAGACACATTACAAGTTGGGCTGATTAAGGGGTTTCTTTTTTCCTTTTCTATTCCTTAGAGGCAATCCGTTTAGAAGAGTTCATCTCAGATAGACATGGTGATGGGTCTGAGATCTGTCATCATCCATGCCTGGTCCACATATGATCATCGACCTCTTAGTAGATGTGAGCCCTTGTGGCACACACCATGCAGTGAATACCCAAAATTTTCAACTTGATTCCATTGCAGGAATCTAAAATCATTCATTCGTCAATGGCCCCAATTGGTGCCAAAAAGTGGGGTCTAGAGGAGTTATTATGGCCTTAGATTTACTGCAGAACATGTGCCATCCTTAAGCATTGGAATCTTGGGTCGGCCACTAGAAAGGGGCTAAAAGGAACCTTATTAATACTGAGAATGGGTTATTTGACTTTTATTTCATTTTCCCCCCTCGATTGTAGTATCTGATACATTGGGAGAATACTAAAGTGGAGGACATTCATTATCGGGAACTTAATTAGTTTGAGTAGAAACTGGAAATTATATGAAAAAAAAATAAAGATGCTAATCTTTTTCTTGTACACAAGGAGGTGTTGTTGATGATTAAAAAAATGGTGACAAAAACATTTTTTGGGATGTTGCATGAATCTTGTGGGGATTGACTTTTATAGATATAAAATAGTGCAAATGACGAATTATTGAACTAATCAGACGGGTTTTTATGCTTTTAATAAAGAAGCAAACAATAAATAAGTCCATTTATTTTATTATTTAGTACATAAAAAATAAATTTTGAATCCATTTCTTTCAACTGAAAAATAGAAAAATGGTACAATAACAAAAAGAAGATCAATTTCCAACTTCAACTCTATATGCTTCAGCACCCATCTGATGGCATTTTGCTTTAGCAAAACATGTGTTTGGTCTTACCAAATGTTCTTGTCGTCAAGGATGGGGTAGAATTTTGGTGTTTTGGTTGAATAGGATGACCTCGCTGTCTTCTTCATTTCTTTCATTTTCTATGTTTAAACTTATTATATTGAAAATTCATCTCAATTGTCAGAATTTGAAACTCTAATTTCAAAGTATGGGATTCAAATCCT